CTGTACCACAGAGGTCACAGAGAAGTCGGACATGCAATGCTACCTTGTAGCGTTACAAATATGAGCACACATGCATCTTAAGCGCAGTGTCCATATGAGACTGTAAACTAGTACGTAAAGCATAAAATGCATGTATTTCACTATCTGTTCAAGAATATAGTTGTAAGAAATATATAGATATATAAGTGTAAGTTAGTATAGAAAATACTATTTTCCTTTTTTTCAAAAATGTTAACTACAATCGTCGCTTGAGTGTAAAAATTTCAACTCTGCAGGATTTACGGCAATGCATTTGAGGAACTCTTCGTTGCAGAAGTGTATAGACGGTTTTTTTGTTGTTGTTGTATATATATATATATATATGTGTGTATCTTATACATTTAGTAATGTTTGGCAATACAATGTGCAATACAAGTCCAATCTTACTTTAACTTCAACACTTATACGAGTACAATAGAACACAACAACGAAAACATCAATTGCACTATAACTTGTAAAATTTATAAACACGTTCGGATATGTGAAATAGTGGAATAGTATGAAGTTGCTCTATCTGTGAGCCACTCTATACTATATATACCCTCTGTAGATATATATGACTCTGTATTAATGTAGAATTGTTTATATATACTTTTTTAGATGGCTCTAAATTGAGCATATGAGCACTAAGCATATGTGTATACAATTTAAATAGCGGAATAAATTGTGATCAATTTTTCTTATCCTTTGCTGTACACCAAATACCACATACAAGGAGTTACTTCACTGTAGCGTAAGGAAAAAGTGCATAATAAAAAATAAGACCAAAATCTAAGACAAAGATAAATTCTGCATACACTCGTAATAACAATACAAAAAGGAAGATTGAAAAAAATAAGTTGCAGTAAAATCGTTGAACTATGAAAAATTGATATGTATTTTTCACAAACGAAAAACAGAAAAAAACCAAAAATCCTAGAAAAACCTTCCTGGGCACTCAACCAAGTGTTTATAGTTCTTCTATCCTGCCAACACATTTTCTTTGTACTTGTGCGTTCATATATACAGACGGGAACAGACAACAGTACATGGACATTCACAATGGAACACAAATCTTTGCTGGTTTTTGTGTGTTGCCATTAGAGAATTTAATATTGGATACCAACCAACACTGCCCATGTCCAGTGAATATATGAGAGTAGCTGCCTCTACAGTGCTTGAAGTAGTGGTGTGTCTTGCTTATTAGTTCAATACTCGTCCTCATCGTCGTAGTTCATTCAGTCTTCGTTGCGCCAATAAAGTTATTTACTGGCAACATTTTTTTTCCACTCAGCTTATGCGAAGCTGAGTCTCTTAAATATTGTAATGCAGTAATTTACACATAAGTTATGTCCGTTTTTTGCCTTACCGTCGTAAACGTCTAATTTTACAGATTCCTTCTCGAGTTCAGGTTATAATGTCACCGATAAACCAGGCATTTAATTTGCTGCCGGCTGGAGAGTGAGCAGCCTAATTAATGGTTTAATAAGCAACTTGTTTAGGAGCAACTAAGTTGTGTTGAAATTTTATGTTATTAGTTAGAAATTAAATTGTTGCCAAAGCCACAAGTTTGTTAGATTGGATTAGCTTCGGTTACCTTTGACAATTTATGCTTAACAGGCTCATTATTTACGTAGGCGATAATGCAGCAAACAAAATTTATTGTCTAGCTTAGGCACTTCGTAATAGTAATAGAAGTGAGGAAAAATATTTATTAATAATTTTATTCATTTAGTTAATTAATAACTCTGATCTATTTAATATAATAATAGATATAGAGATGTAATAGCATGTAATTGTTATATAAAAATACATATAAAAATATATATTGTGTTGGATAAATGGTGATAGATACTCGTGTACACACAGAAAAATATGCTCTAACCACATACTAGTTAAATAGATCTGAACTTTTAGCTACAGAAATTTTAGCTTTTGTGGTAAAGAAGATATCAGAACTAGCATATGGTATGGTTGAACCAACAAGTAAGAATATTTTGACCTGAGATTTATTGAAAATCTGGTTAAATCAACCAAATTATTTTTCTGAGTGTAACAGTCCATTTATGAGTTTTTTTATATTTCAACTTCAGATTCTAGATAATCATAGGAATGTGGAAAATAACTGTTTAATATAAAATGAATTTTATTAAATGTTTCAATAAACAACATATATAGTAAAAGTGCTACAACATTTTACTATATCTGCTATATCCATGATGAAACTTGTTATGTAGGCCTGTTGGAAAATTAATGCATTATTAAAGTAGGGTTACTTAATATGGTCAGACATTACCTCGGGTCTCCTGCGGCATCCAGGGGTTTTCTGGGTAACGCCTGCCTCTATTCCTCTTGGTATTTTAGAATTCACTGTATTATTTCTGTAATATTCTTTATTATTACACACACTTCACTATAAGAATATCACCAAAAATGATTTTTGTTTTAAAAAAAAAAAATTATTTTTCTTTTGTTTTTTTTTGTGATAAAGAAATTCAACGTGCATTGCGCGCACGCTGTCAATTAAAAATAGAAGTAAACAAAGTAGTAATTGAGGAAGGCGAAAAGTAAAGCTTCTAGTTACGAGTCTTGTTTGTCTTGTTCAATATCGTTAGGGCGAATTTCACTAAAGAAAAAAAAAAAAAGCTCCCATAAAGCTTGATTTAGACATAACAATATAGTATTGCCAGGTGAAAGTAATACATTGATACACTTAAGACAAATTTTAGCTTTATTGGAAAGAAAAAATATATTAAGCTTTCTTAGAGGTCATCACCCTCAAACAAATAAATAAACACAAAACGAGAAAAAAAAAAAACCAGCAAAGTCAACTATGAGAGTGGTGAAAACTTTTCAAGAGCATTATACGGTAAACAAAGAGTTAACAGGATCCCTAACGTGGCAGGAGGATTTTGCGGTTATACAAACTGACTATAAAATAGCCAGCAGAAGCTGGATGCGCTCTCTTTTTTTTGTATTTTTCTGAGTAAGGCAGGTGGTGCATATCAGACTGATAAAAATTTGTTGAAAGTGAATTAAAATTTTTATTATAAGAATTTGTGGAAAGTGAATAAAGACTAAAGATTATTTAAAATTCATTTTATTATAAAAATTCTATTAAAAGTGCATAAATACACTAAAATTTAACAAGAATTCATTTTATTATAAAAATTCTGTTAAAAGTGCATAAATATACAAAAATTTGACAAAAATTCATTTTTTTTATAAAAATTCTATTAAAAGTGTATAAATACACGAAAATTTAACAAGAATTCATTTTATTATAAAAATTCTATTAAAAGTGCATAAATACACTAAAATTTAACAAGAATTCATTTTATTATAAAAATTCTATGAAAAGTGCATAAATACACTAAAATTTAACAAGAATTCATTTTATTATAAAAATTCTATTAAAAGTGCATAAATATACGAAAATTTAACAAGAATTCATTTTTTTATAAAAATTCTAATAAAAGTGCATAAATACGTAGAGATTTAACAAGAATTCATTTTACAAAGTAACTAAGAAATTCGAGAAATAGCTAAATATCTAGCAAAAATTGTTTTAAAAATTTTTGACTTTAAAAGAAAAAAAAAAACACAAAAAGATTTGAAGATTCGAAGATTTGGAATTTCCACCGCAAGATTAAGAAAAAAAAAAGGGAAATAATCATATTCAACATCATAACGGACATAAAAGGAACCAATGGAAACTAAGACCAATAACTGCAGCAGGATCCACCGTTAGCATACCACGGTGGCCAGGTATTCCAGCTCTCAAGGAAACAACTTGAATAAAGAAAAAAAAAAAAACTTTAAAGCTAATTGCATAATTCCAATTTATTTGTATTATTAAATTTATTTGTTTTTTTTTAATTTTTTTTATCTACTATTAATTTTATATTAAAAATTATCAGAATTGTCTTTTGTTTTGCTCATTTAAAAGAAGCGGTAGTTAATGCCAAACTGGGTTGAGTGACTAAATTACTATAATTTTTTTGTTTGTGTCACGCCCAGAAGATATACATATTGTACCAAAGTTATAGAAATTTCAGAAAGAAAAAAAAAGAGAAAAAAAAAAGAAAAAGAAAAGGAAATCCTTTATAATTGCCAATCTATATATTTATTATTTTTTTTTATTTTTTTTGCGTTTTTTTTTTGTAATTTATAGCTAGATCAGCGGTGGCTGGAGTGACGTCATTTCTGCGGCTGCGTGGGCTACAAGTTTTGTTCTTTCTTTTTATTTTGTTTTTTTTTAATTTTATGGTTTCACTGACATTGCTCTTACGTCAGATAAATAATAATATTCCGGAGTAATTACTGGATTTGTTTTTTTTCTTTCTTTTCTAATCATTTATTTGCTCTTTGGTTAAGTAGTTTTTTTATATATATATATATAAACTACAAATGTCATTGTCATAATAAAGAAAATAGGTATATAAAAAGAAAAAAAATGGAAAAGAAATGAATGAAAACCGTAGAAACACGGTATATATTGTAAATAATTATGAAGAGAAACAAGTATATAAATCAAAAATATTTTTTTTGTTGTTTTTGAAGAATGCAAATATTTATATATGTAGAAATATTGTGTAAAATTTATTAATACTCAGTAAAGGTCATAAATATTGATAAAGATATGTATAACTTAACTCCATTGTGAAATAATATGAACATTTTGATAGGTGTAAACATTTTTGTAAGATCTATTTAAATTTTTTTTTTGAAATCATACTATAAACTGTATAAAACAATTCTTATACTCTTATTCTTATATTTAATAAATATTTACAAGTATATATTGTTTTTTTATTATCTATTATTTTTTTTTCTCTATTTTTTTTTTGTAATGAGTTCATTATGAGATCTTGAATTTAGATAACGGGGTGGTGTTAGTGTGGCATTCCCATCATTTTTCCTAAGGCAGAGATTCTTTTAAGAAAAAAAAAAAAAAATTTGTATTCATTTATTTGTCAAACATGAAACGTTTCATGGACACCAATCAAGCCCTACCAGCTGTGTTACCAGTGTTTCCCACTTTTGAGGAAACCAGGACAATACAGGCTGGTAATGTCAAAAACGTCGACTGGGGAGTAGAGGAGGCTATCATAGCTGAAGCGAAAGCCGTAGGGTTGCCCAGAGGAGGAACTTGCGACTTGGGAGTAAGCCTGGAGTACACTGAGCTTCCTAAGGCAGCTGCAGTCGTAATAACCATCAAAGGCAAGACGCTGCCCATACTGTTCGACGAGGGTTTTTTTAAATTGAAGAGACACAAATAAATGATAGTAATTTGCGTCATATTTTTTTTTATTATTTTTTTTACCTTTTTTTTTCTCTCTCATTTGTAAAAATATTGGAGTAGTGTACATCAAGTAAATGAAGTAGTTAAGTAATAGTTTTTTTCAACATTGAAATAATTAATGGAACTAGATTAAAGTGTGAGTAGAATCCTCACTATTTGGATAGTAGTATAGGAATACAAATAAAGATAGAAATGAAATATTAATGAATTATACAGAAATTTAGTTAAGTTAGGATAGGAATTTAAAAACATGGCATGAATTTTTTTTTGTTGTTGTCTACAGTGTATCCTCAGTTGCTAAGAACCCCACCCCAACACTGGCGAGCATACCGGGCTAGCCACCATGCCATGTGCGGCTTCCGAGGACACTAATTTCTTAGAACAGGTGGACACAACAAATGGCGCCCAACGACTGAACCAATGTAGAACCAACGACTGAACCAACGTAGAACCAACGAAAGACACCAACGAGCGAGACGAAAACGAAAGACAAGACGACGAAGAAGACGTATAGCTAAAGACGGACCGCAGATGACACCAACGAACCACGGAAGGAGAAACAACTACGAGACCAAGGAGTTACAACCGAACGGACAAGACCAACGAAGATTTGAGAACGGAAGACTTTTATACTGGAGCAGACGCTATTTAGTATAACGATATATGGAAAGAATAGGAGATTCATTTAGTGCTTCTGAAGGTAGTACAAAGTGGCTGTTTTTTTTTGTGTAGTTGAATTCACACTAGCCAACATAGTTAGCTTTAATCCGGTGGATTAAATGTGTAACGCCTGACTTGCCTTTGTTCGATTATGACGAGATAGGTATTGCAATGTTAGGTTAGTCTGAGTTTTTTTTTTTGTTTTGAGGTTCCTCGATGCTGAATTCATTTGGTATAGAGTTTCGTCCTCGATTTAGGAATTGTTTCAGAAGTATGAAGTTTTGAATGAAGGAGACGCGATTAACCAAATTCCAACGTGATATGCAATGACAGCTTTAACAGATAGACAGATTTACGAAACGGTTGATGAAAATGTAAAGACAGGATGTTACATTTGTATTGAAAGAGATGGCGGTGTCTAGTTTATGTTTTTTTTTGTGATGTTTTTTTTAAATATTTGCCTTACTGCGCGGTTGACCTCTTAATCCGGTGGACTGAGAGCGTGACATCCGTCTTGCCTGTACTCTGTTAATAAAGGTTAGGTATTG